ACATGGGACCGAAGCGATGGCGTGATGAGCAAAGGGCAGACAATGTGTATGCGGATTCCGCTTCTGTTGGACTGCATCGGATGAGGTATGTTGCTGACCGTTAGTCAGTAGTCGCTGCACGTCTGGAGGACTGCCAGGCACGGTAAAGAAGAATATGAGGCCCGGGAGCTTACTGCTTTCTTTGCTTCAATAGAAAATTGTGTACAGAGCTGGCTCAGCAGGTGACGCAGAGACGGCGAAGGGACTCGCAGAAGACCTTTTACTCACTTGCCTGGGACCGGTGCAAACCTTAAAAATGAACGAAGTGAGATCCAACAGATATCAGTGCCTTTGCGCTTCAGCTTGCCTCATCATCGTATGGCAGAGCCCTTCAGATTGGCGAGCTCGATGATCAGAGGAGTTTGCATTATGGCGGAGTTCGACCGCTATGTCGGCAGCTGCCTCATTGCTCACGTCGTTCAGGCATGCGTAGGTGGGCACGCAGTCCGCAGATTTGGGTCAAGTGCATGCACGAACGGGCTCGAGTGATATGAGCCTATCACGTCTTCTGTCATGGCCCATATAGCGTGACCTGTCTAAAGTTCGGAGTGCCTGGGCTGTTCCACTCCCGGGAATGAGACGAAATGGCCGCATGCACTGATCCTTTCCTCCTGGTAGTGCACAATCGACGCATGGCTCAAGAAAAGACTATGAAACTCCCAGGATCAAGACGCCGGATCCCTATCCTATTAGCGCTCTCTTTTTCCCGAACTCTCGGCCGCTGTTGTACCCATGCTATCTGGATCGAAGACCGTTCATACGCTACTGGCCAATGGACGAGGCGGTAACGAGTAACGACTATTGATCAATCGAAATACCCGAATTCGGCTGGGTTCTGCGGGCCAACTCACCTCCGAAATCCGGCCCACAGCCCTCATGCAATCGAGATCAGCGCTCGCTCGGATCCAAGGGTAAGCATGAAAAGTCCATGTGAAATCATATGTGTACACGTGTCACGATCCGCAGGACATCGTGTGCGCAGTTAGTCGAGGCGCGGGACCGAAATCTATCGTCGGGTCCAGGAAAGTTTCCAGATGGCATGGCCAGGAAACAAGATGTGACAGATTCTTTCGCAGGGGCATATCACGTTCCCGCCGTTGTTCACGAGATGCATCGACCTGCCCTTTGTGTCTAGGTCATTCATCAGCAGCTGCCTGCGCCCTAGTTTCCAGAGCTGTATGATGTTGTCGAGCTCTGCTTCGTTGAATGCATGTGGCAGCGGCAGCAGCAGTGCCAGGCAGGGATGGTGACTTGGTGAGGTACAATGGGGGATTGGCGAAAGGAGGCGCTGTGCTGAATGGCGTGTGGCGGAGTAGAGAGGGTCGATCAAGGCGTTGGTGCGATTCTTGCCGCCGCTGCTCCGCTCCTCCCACCGCGAATCTCCGCCATGTCGTGCACGTCGCACACAATGTCCACCGCAGCCTCCCACACCCTCCTCATGGTCTCCGCCTCGCCGCCTTCTCCGCTGCCTCCAACCGCGCTGACGCAGCGCCCGCTCGACCGCAGTG